TTGCCAGGTGTGTCATCCTGCAGGGATTTCCCTCCATCCCAGGTACAGCTGGGATGGGGCTGTGCCAGCGGGAACCACCGTGGGAAAAGGCACACGGCGGGTCCGAGGGTGGAGGGGGGGTTGGACAGGGGTTTGGGGTGGGAGCCACGCCAGCCAAACCTCCCCTGCTCCCTGGGGGAGGCTGGCCTGCGATGGAGATGCCCTCGAAGGAAACGGGCCCGAGGGGGGCAAGGTTGGCAGGGGGTGGCAGGACCATGCTGGCAAAAGCTGAGTTGGAGAGGCTGGATTTGTCACCTAACCCAGTCACCCCCATCCTGATTTTTGGTTTGAACGTGGCCAGAAGTGTTTATTTCCTGTTCTTGCCCCTTAATTTGAGTTAATTCCTCTCCTTCGTTCCCTTCTTTCATATGTTTCCCTCTTCTCTCTCAGAAGACTGAGTTTTGGAGGTGATGCCAAAAGGAGATGACCCCAGAGACAACTACAGCCAGCCTGGAAGCAGACCCGGAGATGGGAGATGGGCAAACACCTCCTTGGGTGATGTGAGGAACCTGGGGGTGGTTTCCATGGCAGCCCCTTGCCCCAGAACATGTGTTTATGATCCTTCTGTGTATTGTATTTTGGCATAAAAGCTCCTCTGCGCCAGCAGGGCTGGAGGGGCAGCCTGAAGGCCCCCGAGGGTGGGGGGGTGCTTTACAGCCCTCCTTGGCATAAGAATGGCCACGAGGAGCCAAACCAGCAGCCCAAGGGCTGCCGCACGCCGCCTTTCATGGCAGGCATAAATCTGTCCAGCAGTGCCGCGGTTAAAGAGCCCTCCCGACACGGCTCTCAGCTGGCCGGCGCATTTCAAACCCGCTCTTCCTAAAGCCTTACTCCAGTGCCTCAGGTTGGGCTTCCCCCTGGCCCTGTATTATGCATGGGTTTGGCCCAGGCAGCCCCAGTTGCCGTTCACCACGGGCAAAAAAGATCTCAATTATCTATTATACAGCCAATCCCCTGGCACAAGCAGAAATCCCAGCGGGATCTTTTTTGTGACCTGATGTAGGTTGTTGTCTAAGTACAAGGAAAAATCTTGTGGTTTAAAGTCTGAGACAAACTCTTTTGCTCTGATAAGCAGAAAATGTAAGGATATAAAGATGTAAAGATTTAGAAATATAAGGATATCCTGCCTTCTACCTACGATTCTGCAGCAGCTGTCCAGCAAAATTCTGGCAGCCTGCTCATCCCCGTGACCTCTTGTACTGAACTGAGATTAAGGAGAGGCAGAACTCCTGCCAGATTTAAAATCAAGCCTCTAAAAACTGATTGGAGAGAAAAAAAATCCTTGGAGGGTCACTTTGCAGCAGCCAGGAGGGAAGAGGGATGGTGTGGGGCGGCTGTGACACACAGCCATCCCTTCTGCCTCCCCTCCTCCTCCTCCTCCTTTTATTAAAAAGCAGAGAGACCGGCCCAAAGCTGATGGCATATTTACCTTCATGAGTTTTAAAAAAAAGTTAATTACCGCTCGGAGCAAGTTGGTCGGGCTGTCCTGAGCTGTCTTTTATTAGTAGCCGCCTTCATTAATTTCCCTCGCTGGATTTGCTGCTAATAGCTGCCTGGTCGTGGGCAGCACAAAGCAGCATCTGTGCCATTGAGCAGAAAAGCGGGAGTCAGGCAAAGGGGGGCACTGGGGCGGGGGGGGCGACGCCGTTTGCAAATCAACCTCTATTAACGTGATGTCCTGCTCGGAGGGGACAACGGCGGCCCCGGTAGCCGGCACGACTGTTTGGGCTGTGAGCGAGGCAGGAAAGGCACCTGCTGCCTGCCGGGGGATCCCGCCCTCATCCCGCTGGCCCGGGCCTGGCTGTGCCCCCGGGATGTCGGAGCTGCCCCCGCGGGGCTGAGCGCGGGATGCTCGGCCCCTGCGTTAAACAAACCGCTCGTAACTCGGTATCTTCTGGGAGATACGCTCTGTGCCTCAAGAGCAGCTTGGCAGAGAAGTTCGGGATTAGGGGATGGGATTAGGTTCCGTAGGGAGGGGGCAGCGGGCGGGCACAGCGGGCTCACACGAGCTGGGGCAGCGGGCGGGCGGCTGCGGAGGCCAGCAGCCCCATCTGCTCCGCTCCGCCAGGGGACAGGGGACACGATTTCATCCAAGCGGAAGAAAGGAGGGTGGCGTGTGTCACTCCCGGGAGAGAGGGGCGAGAGCGGCGCGCTGCCGCCAGCTTCCCCGCAGAGCTGGGGGAGGCACCGTGCGCCGGGGCTCCCCTCGAGGCGGCAGGTGACAGCAGCTCGCACCAACCAGCACCTCGCTGCGAACACCCCGCTCTGCTTAGGGGGAAGGAGACGCCGAGGAAGCTGCTGCTGCTGTGTTCTTCCAAGCAGAAGAGATTGGGCAGCCCGGGCTGCGGTTCTGCCCTTGCCGGTGTGAGGCTTCCCCCTCGTTCCCCATGAATAGCCGTGTCTGGGGAAGGAGCTGTGCCGAAATCCAGCAGCTGGGCTCTGGGGGCAGCTGATGTCGGGTTTGGGTTTATGCTGCCTCGTGTGCAGGGGCTGCCTCACAGCTGGAGGGGTCAGCCCGTGCCCGCTCTCTGCCAGCCGGAACGGCACGGGATGCTGCGGCTCCGAGGGAGAGGGAGAGAGGGAGGCAAGCTTGGCTCAGCCCTGTATTGTTGGGATCCCTTCCCACTGCATCTTTTCTAAGAGAAATTCCCCCAAGTGTTCCAGTTACTGGCATTATTTACGAGTGAGAAAATCATTCTACCTGTTAGCAGGCTTTGGTTGCATCAGCTTGTTCCCTGGATATCAGATTTACTAACATGGATGCACAGACACGACACACAGCCAACAAAACTCTGCCTTTCACCTGGATACCTGCAGAAAGGGAAGGAGGAAAAAGCTCTCTAAGTAAATACCCTCCCTGAAGGACAGGAAAGTGTGTCACCGCCGCCACAATCAGGCCGGTTTCGTGCCTGACTTGCAGCAGCATTTACACAAGTCCTTACACTCAAGTCCTGGAGTTTAGGTGACAGGAAAAAATGTTTCATGCCTCCTCAAGTGTGATGTCCCTACATCTCATATTTCACTGTGGCAGCACGACACAGCTCCGCTCCTTTTGTAGAGCCTGGCTCTCACTGGTTATACGGAGTACTTAGGTTGGAATTTGGAGAGTACTACAATTAATCAAGCCCAAAAATCATCTCAGTAGCAAGTTACTTAACACAAACCACTGGATCTCCAATAAAAACTTCCAATTTCTAATTTAAAAAAGACAAAGTATTCCCGATGTCTCAGTTAGTTCAAATTACTTTATTCTGATACCAGAGGAAATAGCACCATTTTTTGGTCAGTATCTCTATGATGAAATTTACAGCCAAAATACTAAATTCTCCATCCTCAGAGTCAACTATTTATTTCCTCAATAATCCCCTATTTATACCACAAATTGCAGCCAATAACTCAAACTCTGTGTGTTTGGAGCCATGTTCTTGAAGAGCCCCAGCTCTTCAGGCAGTGAGGTTAAAAATCCACGATTTCCATTATGCAAGCCCCGGATGAAGAGAGAGTGCCTGATTCACCTGAAATTGTGAAGAGTAAGAATCCTGTGAACAGTAAGACCAGTAGAATATGATGCCATGTCTGTTTTAACAGGGAACTGAACAAGCTGATCCTCGACCCTAGCTTTTACTTGTGAGTAGCCATAACTTTGGCTGAGGTGGCAAAATTTCACCTAAACCAACAAAATAAACAAGCTGCTAGGTGGAAATACTAGGAAGAAAGCAAAATATTAAAATTCCATAGGGATGGATTTATTCAGAAGCACGTCTAAATAAACTTTCTTTTCCTCCCTTTGAGCAGGAAGGAGTGGAAAACGCAGGACTGGTCAGGGCTCCCAAAACTGCTTGTGCTGCCTCCTGACAGCGCATTGGGACACTTTGTTGTGCAGGGAGTGTCTGAGGGGTTTTGTTTTGGTTTTAATTGTCCCTACAGAGCAGGGAAAGCTTCTGCAGAGAGGCTTTAACACAGCACCTCGGCCGCCCGTGAGTTCCCGGGATCTTGCTAACTAGCTTTGCTCGCCCCCCGGAGCCCGGCTGCGCTCGCTGGCCGGAGCACGGAGCTGTGCAGGCTCGTCACTCAGCTCAGGCCAGCATTTCGCCACTGCCGACCGAGAACAAGGCCGGCCTTTATTGGCTGCACAACAAGATAACGGGCTTAATCTTCCCAGTAACACGTGAGCTTCCATGTATCACTTTAATCTGCGAGACACTGGGGCCGAGTGTCCCGTCACATGCCGATTTCACCGCCGTGTCAGCCGGCGACTGCCCAGCTCAATGATGGATTGTTTGCCGGCTCTTAACAACAGGCAAGATGGTGAATGCCCCGGGGTGACAGACAGTACGCAATGGGAACGGCCGCAAATCTGACGGCCCGGTTCAAGTTCACCTGACAAAGCTGGAGCAGTCTGTGAGCAAAGCTCGGGAAAGGATTATTCACACTGGCATTATATTTTTGAATGCATTTTTCTCCCCGCGCAGCTGCGCAGCTCCCCAAGACCGAAGGTTTATGCACCATAATAAAGAGATTTAATATTTTTTCCCCCTCTTCCTTCTCCCTCTTTACACCTAGTTCTAATCAGTTGGCCCAGGGATAGGGCATCTTTCCAAACAACTCAGCACAAACATCACCTAGAAAACAATAGCATTGCTAAAACCCTGGGACAAAAGCCTAAAAACCTCTGCTGGCTGCAGAAACAAAAGGGGATGGTTTTGTAAAAGCAAAGTCTGTTGGGGACCCATCTTTTTGTGGAACTTTGATGCTGTGCCCCCTTTCTCATCAAGGAAATCTCCCAAAAGAAAGGATGCCAGTGCCTGGGGGCAGTGGGACATGGGGGCTTTGGAGGGGAAGAGGAGAATAGGAAATGAAGGCAGCTTTTCACTGTCTTGTTGGATGAGTTGCTCCCAAAGATGTCTAGGATAAAACAGTGTCCAGCTCATGGGTTGTTCTGTGGACTGACCTGTACCAGTCTAGGCCAGCAGCTCCACAGAGGGCCTTGTCAAGGACAGGCAGCTACAGATCTCGTTGCACTCCACGTGTTGATCATTAAAAAAGTAGTAAATTCCTTTCTTCCCAAAGTTGGAGCGTGAGTCTTTGCTATTGAGGGAGTGAATTTGGGGGTCTGTGAGGTAGATGAGGCCTTTCCCGTTACCTGTCACCCAACCTGTGGAAGAAATGGTACATCTTGATATCTTGTTTATCTTGACAAACACCACAGCCTTTGTTTTAGCACACTCAGGACTCTTTGCCTGGCATGGCCCTTCCTCTCTTCATGTCACCTCAGTGACTCCCAGTTTCCACCTATGGCAGCAACAGCAGAACCCTATGAGACACACAATGAATTTTAACCAAATAAATACCCCAAAGACACCTGTGGGCCAGCAGCTGAGTGTGAGAGGCATAAACATCACTGTCACACACACCTTGAAGGTCAACGACCACGTCAGTTCCCTTGGAGAACTCGTAGCAGAAGTGGCCGTAAGCCAGACCATACTCCGTGGCCTTGTACTCATTCTTCACCACCTTGGTGTTGTTGGAGAGCTTCACAAACTCCCCCAGGATGTAGGGCTCCACACTCACACATCCTTTTATAATTCTGTCTTCCAGAATCTGAAAGGAGACAGCCCCACTGTTGCTGTAATTGACCCAAGACACCTTTCCTCATCAGGTCCTTGGGATTGCTCAGCAGACAGTTCTTACCAGGAGGACTGCAGAGGGGATGTAAAAGATTTGGGTAGGGACCTTCTGCTCATACAGCCTCTTGTTGAACTCTGTCACGTAGTACTGGGCTGTCATCTGTCGCTCCACGTCACTGAAATGATGGAGGAGTCCTTTTTCCTCTTTGTATTCCTTCCCAACATACCTGGACAAAAGGAGAAGGATCTGGAGAAGTGTTTGTTCTGGGTGCTGTGATACAGAAACATCACTGCAAAGCAGAATGTGTCAGAAGCAAATCCACCTCTGGGTGGTGCTTTTAAAATGGCTGCCATTAAAACTGGGTGGAATTCTTTTCTATCTCACAGATGTGAAAAATTATCCATCAAATCCTGGGATGGGAGTTTGACTCAGAGATATTAAAATATTGCTCTCCATCCATAATAATGAATAAGCTACTCCTAGCAATGATCTGAACTCTGCCATTAGCTCTTAGAAGACAACAGTAAAGCAGCCTTTCCTTCCTGGAAATTAAAAGCTTGAGTTACATGGAGTGGTGGGAAAGACTGCCAAAATGTCCAACACATTTGGACAAAGCCATCAAATATTCCTGCTACAGCAAATCTTACCAGACAGTTTTCATCCATATTTACAAACAAGCAGCATTGATGAACATTTTGTTTCAGAGATCCATACCTTCCCAGGCTTTCTTCTTGGTGCAGGAAGTGTATCCAAAAGGCATTTCTCTGCTTGCCCTCCTTGGCCACGTTCAGGTAGTCCCCAATGAACACAGCTGTCTCCTGGCCTGTCCACAGCCCTGATTTCTTGGAGTATTTCAGAAGAAGGGCAGCTACAAAAAGGAGAACACCACAGATAAAAGGGAGAAATCCACAGGACTGCTCTGAGCCTGTGCTGAGGACTGGCTGTTATTTATGATAAACTTAATGATCATTATCTTAGTCAGATTTCAGGTATGGCATGTGGAATCTAAACTCAAGTAATGGGGTAAAATGCAATAAAAAATTAAATCCTGACTAAAATAATGAGTCAAGCTTGCTCTCTGTGGAGGCACAGGTTGCTGTGTGGGAACTCACAGTATGCTTTGTGAAGCTCTTTGCTCTTAAAGATCCCAGTAGGCATCAGTCTCTGGACAAGCCAGTGATGCTCCACCCCTGCCAGGAGCTGCCTGTAATCATCATCCCTCAGAAAGCGAGCATCCAGGAGCTCTTCCTTCACTCTGCCAGGCATGAAGGCAATGCCACTTCCCCTTGGGACTGAACCTGCAGGGCGGCTCGTGGCCATTAGTGCTGATGTGATCCCTGAACTCAGAGAGGAACTGGACTGTCCCCTGCTGCCCAGCACATCCTGAGACTTCTCTTCATCCTCCTCTGTAGTGGCACAGTCAAAGTGTTTGGTTGTGGGTATCTTTCCCAGGGAGGGCAAAGCTGTTGGCAGACTGGGAGTTGCTCCGTGCTTTGGAGCCAGTGCTGCAGGATAATCCTTTAGCAAGTCTCCCAGGCTGATGAGCTCAAATTCAGGGTCATCCATTGTTTCTGCCTGGGTGTCAACCTGAGGCACCTGCAGAGATCTGTTCCCCAGCCTGGCAGATGTGCTCACCCAGCCAGGCACAGAGGAGTCACTGCCTGTTTTCAGCCCGATGTTTGTTGATGGTGCAGAAGGGCTCCTGTCCTGGGGGGGCTGTGCCTCAAACGAGGGACCCTCGGTGCTGTCTGCAGGTTCTCCCGAGTGGAGACACTCAAAGCGACCGATGCTTCCCTCCCTGCTGCTGTCCTTGGTCCTGCAGCTCAGCTCGGCACAGGAAAAGGACTTCTCCTGCCTTGTAGGAACAGAGTAGGAGATGGAGAGGGAAGGAAACTCATTGTTTGAGCCCTTTGATTTCTCTTTTGAGGAGCTCCTTCCACGGTGCCTTCCCTCCTGCAGCTCTTCTCCGCAGAGAGGCTCCTTCTCCACCATCCTCCCTGATCGAGGGGCACACCCCTCTGAGGAATGCTGAGGAGACCCCCCAGAGCCACGGAGGGGCTCCCGAGGAGCAGGATGCCAGGCTCTGGGAGGTAAGGAGCACAGGGGCATGTCCTGGCCGCTTCCATTGGGCTCTGTGGTGCAGCACTGCTCCTCCACTGAGCCCTTCTGCCCTTGCTGCCCGTCCCTGAGAGACTCTCTGCTGCTATTACAACTCAGCTCCTCCCAGCTGGAAGAGTAACTGCATTTGGACAGCTTGCACCAAGAGTTCTCAGAAGTAGTGCTTTGGCTCCTGTCTTGCCCTCTGCTGAAAACATCTTTTTCACTGTTTATTGTCATTTCTAACGGCTCCATCTCTTCTTCAAAAGAAATTTTCATCACACCAGAGCCAATGTCTTGATTTCTTTTGCCACTGAGTCCCTCTGAGCTGTTTCCTGCTGTTGGTGAGCCCAGGATTTTCACAGCACCACTCCTCTGCTGAGCTGTGTCTTCAGCAGTACACAGGGTGTCCATGGTTTTGGTCTCTGTTCTCAGGGTTGTGATACAAGCTCCCACCTGGATCTCTCCCTGCGTGGTTTTATGAATCCTGCAAGTTTTTTCAAACACTTGGCACACTGACAGGTGGTGCTGGGAATGCTTGGCAAGGATTTTCTCAAAGCTGGCTTCCCCTTGCAGGACAGGTTTTTGTACCGAGCCTTTATAACTGTCTGGGACGTAAGACCTGGCGTCGGAATTGGGGAAGCCTCCCACCCGCAGGCGCCTCTTCACAGCTGCAACCAGAGACATGATCTCTCTGGCAAGCATCCCCTTCTCTTCCTCCTCTGGGAAGGAGGTGCTGTAGGAGTGCAGCTTGCCCAGGGCTTCCCTGCACAGCTGGGTGACCCCATGGAGCTCCTGGCTGTCCCCGTGGAGCCAGCGGTGCACAGTGGCCAGGCAGAAGGAGGCTTTGATGAAACTGTGCAGCTCCTGCCTGCTGGTGATGGCACTCTGCTCCTCCTTGGTGAGCAGCCCCACCTCGAAGGATTCTTTGGCTGCAGACAAGTAGAACTCTCTCTTTTCCGGGGGACAGTCCTTGGAGTGGCTGTAGGACAGCAGACACATCCCACGGATGTTCTGGGAAGGGATCAAAGAGGAATGAGGGAATTAAAAACACGTTTCTTTCCCTGACACAATTTGAAGCAAAGCTCAGATCTAACCCCCTGCTGCTGTGTTTCCTGGAGGAAATAAACTTTCTCTCTTTTTTTTCCTTTAAAATACAGCTGTAGTTCTAGGAGAGGCAGCACTCCCAGGGCTTTAAAGCCTATCCTCACTCTGGGGATAGTTTCCCTCAATGTATACCCCATATAACCAGCCCAACCCTCAACACAGACACTCTGTGTGATGCACTGCTTGAAAGCCATGTCAGAGCCAAACTGAGCAGCCTGGGCTCTTCCCCTGCACAAATCCCCCTTCCAGAGGGAGGAGTAACACTCACCACGGCCGTGAGGACAAACAGGGGGGTGTACTGGCTGTAGGCAGCTGCCAGCTTGCAGGCCTCGGCCGCCGATAACAAGCGGTGGTTGAACTCCTGCAGGAGGCTCTGATGAAAGAAAAAAACCCCAAAAATGAGGTAAAAACCTCAGCTCAAGGACTTTATCTCCAAATATATGGTGCCTGGTAGGCAGGGTCAATCATATCCTAAACAAGAGGCTGGTTTGTTTCTGCAGGACACTTTTTGCTAAGGTTCACCATGGATACAGCAATTTTGACTTCATAAATATTCTAAATATATACACTCTATAACAAATTCTTTATATGTTCTTTTTCCTGAAGCCAGGCATTCTCCCATCTAGGTGCTACTGAGCTCTTTCACTGGGAGCAATGGAAGTTTCTGCAGCCCTCTCAGCATGGGAGAGGAAATGTGTGGGTGAATTTGAGACCACCTGAAGCACACACACACACAAAGCCCAAACCAAGTCTCACCAGGTCAATGTCAGCATTGGTTTTGAAGCGTGCATAATCCTGCTCATCCATGGAAGCAAAGATGTCTGCCATAATACCCAAGGATGTGGCAATTCCCTGAAAGAGAAATTAAAAATTTTCATACTGGGGTTTTCCCCCCCTGTATTTTGAATTTTACTGCTCTGCTGTGTAGAACATGCCAGAAAAACAAGCAAACAAACACACAAACAAGATCCAAAGAGAAGCACGGCTAAGAAATCCAGAGATGCTATCTTGGTATGGTTTTATTAATTTCACTTGCAGGAAGTGCAGTAATCTGGAAGACCGGATGCCACCTAAGGGCCTGCCTGGCCAAGCAATTAAGAAACCCAAGTATGCTTTCACAAAATTCACTGCAGAACCCCCTGCTGCCGCTGAAATGGAGAACACAGAAATGTTCTGAGCTTGAGGTCAAGCTTTAAGACACAGCAGACAAGAGGTGACAAGGTCTGGGATTTTGGGATATCTTGTGCTGGGGTCCAATTACAAATCCTCTGTGAGCATCACCCCGGGACTCACCAGGCTCAGGCTCACATTCCTGTTTAGCTACGGACACATGGTGTGACTGCTGCTCCATCTCCAGTGGGAGGATGAGTGCTGCTCGCCTCACAAACGTGCCAAGGACAGGCAGGGGGTTCTGTGAGGTGCTCAGGTCCTGCAGGGCCAGGGGAATCCATCACCCACCACAAACGTGCTCGGGGGAAAAAAATTCCCTCAAATCCTAAGAAATAGCTAAAATCTGTGGCTGCTCCCTGGAATTAAGCTGTCCTTGTTGGAGGCACCAGAGGCATCCTCAGGGATGGTTTCACTTCAGATGGCTCTGCTTAATGAGGAGTATTGCTTTCATCCCCCTGCAGGAGAGGAAGCGTGGGTGAGGCGGTGCATGCACGCGGAAACAACGCGGAATACAGACTTTGTGCTGCCTGTTAACCCTGCCTCAGGTGTGTCAGAGAGGGAAACAAAAGCTAAGCTGCAGTGCTTCCTGGGCTGGCAGGGAGATGCAGAGTGGAAAGGAGATGCTACCTTTTTATCTGGCTGAGGAAGTTGGAAGTATCCAACGATGGAAGCCCAGACCAGCTCTGCTGCCTCATACCACATCCCTGAAATAAAGCAGAAAACAGGCACTGAGCAGGGGATGCCAGGGATGCATTTCCACAGTTTATTTCACACCTTGGGTCCTCAGGACAGGATAAAACCATGATAAAACCATAAAACCAAGCAAAACATAAAAGCATGTTCTGCTTCAGTGACTCTGATCATTTATGAGTTTCCTTCAGCTTTTGGCTGTGCATGAACACCCATTTTGTCCTCACAAAAGGCTTCAGCTCCACAATCATGGAAGATTTGGGATCTCAAACCAAAAGCACAAAATGAAGGCTGTTGCCTCAAGTGCCAAACCCTGAATACAGAAGCCCATCCTGCTGAAAACCAGAGATTTTCCTGTCTTGAGAGAGGACATTGTTGGGATGTCCCTGTGGTAAAAGTACCACCTGCCTTTGGGAATAGTGAATTTGGGAAAAACATGGAGTGGCACAGGGAAAAAGGGAACATTTCAGATTGTTTCTTGGCTTCAGGTGAGATTAGTAATAAAATGTTAGCTCCTGCAAAATGTTTGCTTGGCACATTGTTCCAGGCCCTTGCTGCAAAGAGATGGGTGTGCAACTCATCCTCTGTGCCTGTTTTATGGGTACAGGGCATTCACCACCAGCCAAAATTCTGACAGGTGCCCAGTGTAACATTTTAAAGGGGAAAAAAAAATCGGGAAACCTTGAGTGGAAGCTTCCAGAAGACAGCCTTACCAAGCTTTTGCAGGATCTGTCCCCTGATTTGCAGGCAGACTGCCTGAACAAGAACCCGATCACTCTCCTCGGCGTATCGCCACGTTCCTGCAGGAGGGGTGGGAAAACTCGGCATAGAATGAAAAATATTCCTGTCACTCTCAGCCTCCAAGGGTTACCTGAATCCCAGCAAACTGCCAGGATTCTCCTCCTTGCATGGAGGCCCTTTCCATAGGAGAATCTCAGCTTCCCAGGGAAAACAGACCAACAGAACCCTGAACTGCCTCAATTTTCAGAGTCGTACAGCAACCTGAACATACCCACTAAAGAAACACTGATAAAACATAAAGAATAAAGTATTTATTTAGTCTGTGAGATCAGTGGGAGTTTAGTCTGTAAGATCAGGCTGAGCACTACTCCAACAATCTGGATTTTTGAGGGGATAGAGTTGACTGAGTTTCCTACATCACTCAGTTCCTTGAAATTTCTCCACAGGTTAAACTTCTCCATTCAGGATATTTTCCAACCCAATTGAAGGTATGTAAGGATGACTGAAAGAAATTTCAAAAATAAAGTAATGTTACCACATTTTAGAAGGGAATGGTGAAGGAAAGTGAAGTGTGATGTAAGGAGTCATTACTGGGGTTGGTTTTGGCTGGTGTAACTGTTAAAATTGGGATCAAGAATCACACCAAAATTGCAAGTATGAAATTGGAAAATAAATTTACACATACCCGTTGCTCCGTTGTCATTAATCAGGCTGCTCAGGATATATTCAGCTTTTAAAAGTTTCCCTGATTGAAAATCAAAGAAAAAACAAAAGATAGAAAATGAACATAAACATGTATTGTGGCATGAGGTGAATAAAACTACTCATCACGTATCACCTGCACATAGAACTGCTGCTGTCCATAGCCAAAAGTGCAGGTGCCCCACATATACATGAATGTTACATGTGGTTGTACAGTAACATGAAATTGTGAATGTATCTTTTTTTATTTTACACATCATACATTCCTGGAAGATTGTTGGGATTCCCAGCTCTTATTCCCACTCCTCAGAAGAAAGTAGTCTAGCCTGCTTCCTTCAGCAGCAATGCTGCTGGATTCTGTCCCAAGGAAACGTGGGCTTTGGAAACCCATTTAAGTCTCTCCATGGAAAGCAGAGCCACAGGAAGATGCATTAAAAATCCTTCAGGTGCTGTCCATGTTACAGGAATGATGGAATTTTACTTTTTTATCCTGGAGGAATTGTAACCTGCATTGTTGGCATAGTCAAGTGGCCCCACTGAAAAACAAAAAGCAGCTGGGACAGTGTAGAGAAAATGCCAGGATTCTAATTTCCTTTTCTCAAGGCCCTTGCTCGGGAGTACAGCAATTCAGATATCCCCGTTTGAAACCAGCAGGGAAGATTTGTTAAGGGACAAAAGCCCCAATTAGTATTTCCCACACCCTTTCACAACTTTCTCTCCCTCTTCTGGCTCCGAAGCCCTCCACGCCGGCCCCTTTGTGCTACCGAGAGGAGCCGGCCCGGGCTCCAGGGGGCCGGCAGCGGGAAGCGTGCTCGCAGAGGCGGCACCGCCAGCGTGTCACGGCACGGAGGGGACCGAGTGTCGCCTCCCGAGCCAGGTGGGGCCGGCAGGGCTGAGGAGAGCGGTACCTGCGTTGACGGCGAGGCGAGCCTGGCGGATGAGCAGCTGCGGGCTGATGGGAGCGCCGGGATGCAGGCGGTGCAGCCCCTTGGCCAGCCGCAGCAGCCGGCTGGAGGCGTCCAGCCAGTACAGGAAGCGGTCCAGCAGGAACACCACGGCCGTGGCCGTGCTGCTGTCCCGGACCACGATGGAGGCCTTCAGAAAAGTCTGGGGAAAAAAAAAATTAAAAAAAAATTCACAGGCAGCCTCAGGAGCTCTGGAAAATGTTCAGCTTCACCAACCCTGTTCCTCACCCCATTTTCATGTTTAGGATAGGGAGGTGCCAGCTGTTTATTCTGTTTGAGTTGTAGATGTAATTGTGGATTTATTATCTTTTTTGATTGCCTGATATTTGGAACTGCAGAATTTGGTGGTCTACTGATGGATTTAAGTCATGCCCAGCAGCAAAGGGGGGAGGTAAGACTGGGAAGGCTGGAAATGGTCACTATGCATTGTCCCACTTGGAGCTCAGGCCACCCACTCCTCTGTACACCACAAACAGGCAAACAGGCCGGGAATCCAAAGCTTTTCCCCTGCAGGCCATCCTTAATGACTCCTAAGTGCCTACGGACTCTCCTGGATGCCCACAGCAGCACTTACACGGGGAATTGTCAGAATTCCTGAGATCCTTGCCGTTAGCAGGACAGGAGGCCAGCAAAGACAGCCACGGGACACGCACAGCCTCATCACAGGTGCAGAATTGGGGACTTTTTTGCCAAAAGACTGTCCCTTCCCATACTGGGCACGGCCTGCTATGGGCATGGCACTTCAGCAAGGCAGATTTGTACAAATTTACTTTTTTTCCTTTTTCTCTTCCCCCCCCCCCCCCCCCCCCCCTTCCCTCAGCCCGAGTTGGATTTTCTAAGAGGATGGCACTTGAAAAGGATTCCTGAAGCTCCGGCAGGCACAGCTTCAGCCAACAATGGAGGAATCCCCCTCTCCAAGCACCTGTAAACTGACACTTCGAACCAGCCATTCCAAATGCTCATCAACGGGCCATATATTTAAGCACAGAGCATCGCCTAATCTATTTTTTTTCCTCCCCTTCTTCCTTTAATAGATCGGAGCACAAAAGCCTGAGAGAGGGTGACCTACCAAACAAAAGGGCCTTTGAGTTCCTAGGAAAAGTAGACTTGGAGGAGGATGGAAGGAATCCAAGTGGCCCTATTATTTCCACTTGCACTAATTAGACATTTTTCTGTCAGCTATTGAGCACTGCTGAGAGGCCAAACTCACTGAATTCATTTCTAAAGTGTTTACAGAAGTTTGCATCTGTTTGTGTCTCTTCAGGAGGAAAATAAGCACTTCAATAGCATTGTGGAAAATCTAAACGAAGCATCCTATTCTGAAGGGCTTGGCAGTCTTGCAGCTGCATAATTTAACTCCCCGCTCAATGCCGAAACCTCTTGTGTCCCTCTCCAAACCCAAATGGACGCAAAATGTAGAAAAGTCAAGCCAGGGGGAGAAACGAGGCTATTTTTTTCCCTATTTTTTTTTTGGGAGGCATGCTGTGTGGCACACAGCGCCACGGCTCCGTGTCAGCGATGTCCCCTCCCCGCGCCGAGCGGGACAGCGAGGAGCGAAGCCCCGCTCCTTTCATTGCCTGCCAGCTCGTGTGGCTGCGGAATTCCTCAGCACCTCCAGCGCACCTCCGGCCGGGACAGCAGCTCCCAGAGCCTGGGAAACGCCTCTGGCTCCCGGGATGCCTCAGCCTGCTCCATCCCAAGCAGAAGCGGGCAGATTTACTCACTTTCTCTGTCGCTTTAGATAAAGAGAGAGGGAGGGGGGAAAGAGCGAGGTACGCTCGCACTTTGTTTTCACATCTGTGCCCGCGACGTGAAATGGATCTGCCTAATTGAGTTTATGGCACAAAGGGAAGCTGGCCGCGGCTGGGAAGTGGAATCAGGTGGCGGGGGAATTAAATTTGCTCCAGATTTCTATACAGGGACCATTGGGGGAAATGCAAAGCAGCCTTTAGCGAGGGGCTTTCTCCTTGATGGCGCTGAGCGGGAGGGTGTGCGGCTCGCACGGCTCCTCCTGAAGTTTGGGTCCCGGCTTTGGGTTCAAAGCCACGACGCCTCCTCCGCATTGACAATGGGGGCCGCTCCCAAGAGAGGGGAGAAGCTCAGAACCGGGGCCATCTGGCACTAGGACGGGCAGGAAAGCGTCAAAGGGAAATTATTGGTGCATAGTAAATGAGGATGAGGAGGAGGGGAAGGAAATAGGGGGAAATCTTTATGTGGCAGCTGATGTAAGAGGAATTACAAGCCCAAATAAATGAAATATTGATTTAATCCACTCTCTCGGCCCTCTTTATAAAGCCAAGATCCCAGAGGCAAGCCCTCCTCCATAGCCTGCGGGCTCAGGAGGATCCCCTTTGGAAAAACGCCTCTACAAACAGCGTGATTAAAAGCAGGGGAAAGAAAGATCGAATTTTCAGCATCCTCACATTTTTGTGGGTGCTCTGGACTCCTGTGTTTGCTGATACCCACTCGTCTCAGACCAGTTCAGTCCTAGTTCCACTTGTGACGGCAGCCAAGCTTTAAAACCTTTTTTAAAAGCCACAAAACTGAGAGCGGCCAGCAAAGAATTTCTAATTCCGTGCACAAGGCAGGAGAGTGAGAGGCACACACGTACTTCCAGGTGCTTCAGTCCTCTCCCAGGAGCTGCTCCTAGTTAGCACTCCACTGAACCCTAACAAATTGCCCGGTTTTCTTTCCCCTGTCAGATTAAACACAGAGTCACAGCGCCGATGGATGGGGCTGGAGCCGTTCCCCCTCTTACCCCGTCCTTGCCAGAGACCAAAGCTGCTGTCACCGAGTGGGACTGCTCTATCAATCCCTGCCTTTCAGCTGGCAATCAGGGCCCTCTCCACAAGCAGCAGGGAATTAAGCCTCCCACCAGGCCGAGGATGGCAGGAGAAAGCGTGGCTGGAGGTGCAGGCTGACACACGGGACAGCCACACACTGGATTGCTGCAGACTGAAGAGTCCAGGCAGCTCCTGGACACTTCCCTCTTGGCTCAGAGTAGAGCAGAATTCTGCCCTGCCCTGAACCTGGTAATTATCTCAATATTATTCATCCTGCAGGCAGAGGGGAGTTGGGAATTCGAAGGCAGCAGCATTAGGTCCATTAGGGGCAGTTCAAAACACCACAGACTGGGGCAGCTTTTACAACCAACTTTACCTCGCTTCAAGACTGGGAATAACTCCTGATTCCCTCAGGGAAAAAGAACAGCAGCATCTTGTGATGAGGACAGAAGGAGAACTCTTAAAGTGCCCAGGGAACTGCTTGAAGGGGTGTTCCTTTGGGCCTCAGATCCAACAGAGCAGCAGGGATTTGGGGGACCACGGTGACATGCAGGGTTCCTGCTCTTGATTAGTACCAAAGATACAGAGGTGCCACAATCGTTTTGTGGCCCTGGTTTGTTCTGGACCACTTATAAACTATTGTGGCACATTAAAAGGAGATATTTTAATACTTAAATACAGCAACACAAGAGACAGAACCCCTCTGAGGGAGCAACTGCAAGACCATTATCAACATCTTAAAATATGAGAAACTTCCCTGCATCAAAAGCATTCCTCTTCCCTCAAAACATCGATCCACTTGTGGAAACACATTTAAAGTTGTAAATATTCCAAAAAGCTGCCTCTGGCAGGAGTAAATCCTACCCATGAGCAAAGTGAAGTGATATCCCTACACAAACTCAGGATCCAGCTTCCCTTTTTTTAAAAAAAATTATGGTCTACACAAATTCTGCTGTAGTTTTGCCACACAGGAAACAGAAGGCAGAGTGCTCTGCAGCACCATGGCAGTCACTCCCGGGAGCTGAAGCTCTCCTGCCTGCACCTCATCTCTGACACTTCTCCCTTACAAAGCCCCTGGGAGGCTGGGGTGCCACGATTCCCGATTCCCGGCTGGAATTCATCCCTCACATCACTCTCCGTTTCACTGGGATCACCCAAGAAGAGCTCTAAAGGAGGCAGGTAGCAAAAGGTCAGCCTCAACCACCGAGATCCCAGGGCTACGATTTAGGGCTTTAATTCTCCTGTTACCACACCCACTGTTAGGAGGAGGAGAAAACGAAATCCTCAGCCCCCAGCTTTAGTTATTTTTCCAAAGGCTCTCAGCTCCTCAGTGCCACACACACACCCACAGTTAGGGCACAGTCCCTTGGAATGGGCTCCCTAATGGCAATCCATCAGCACCTAATTAGCCAAGGGCTGCAGGGCCTTATTTTCCACTCTTCTCAATATTCCCATTGAATCCCAGGAGATCCTAGTGCCAGCAGGGCCAGGATCCGAGCTCCCCCACCCACACAGCAGGGAGCATGGAGCCAGCCTGCACAGCTCCCTGCAGAAGGACCAGAGCAGCCCCACTCCTGAAGGCTTTTCCTTTTGCATTCCCATCGTGCCCATCCCAGCAGATCCTGCTCCATGACTGGAGGCAGGAATTACTGATAGGTGTGATAAGAATGAAGCAAAGCCCACATCACCACTATGGGTTTGCAAACGGGCAAAAAGAACCAAAAAGGAAGAAAAAATCCCTTAAAATATTAATGTAGCATGAATCATCCCACTGTGTGTGCAGAGAATCATCCTTCAGCTGAAGGCACAGCAGGTTTTGGGATCAAAGCTTCTGTGGACATGGACATGTTGCCCTCTATTGGCTGCTCACCGAGCATTAGGCTAATTCCATCTCTTGGGAAAGCAAAGATCTGCAGGAAGGGGAGCCCTGGCAGCCTCCCTTAGGGATCTGCAGCCCCATTTCGAACCCCACAGCACACCTGGTATTCAGGGAGGAAAAATAATCCCTCCTTCTTGATCCCTGCCAGTAAGGACGCTGTGACAATTCTGACTTTGCTTTGCCTTGTTAAAAATATAAAATCCCAGTGTTTCCCAGTTTTGGCTTTGGATGGAGATGCTGGCTATCACCTTTTGGGCCTTAGATTCCCACCACGGGGGCTGAGGGAAGGGCTTGGTTTGCTGGCTGGAACCTGATAAGAAAACGTGGAAAACCTCAGCATGTTGAGCTTGTCTAACTGCTGTGGCCTTTGGGTGGTGAATCCCGGCAGGAAAAAGGGAAAAAAAAAAAAGCCTAAAATTCAAACCTTCAGTGCACCTTCTCTGGGATGCAGAGGGGCGCTGAGCACCCCCCAGCAAAGAGGAAGGAGAAGAAGGTGGCTCTGCCTTCCTGAGGAGCCGGCAAGGCGGGTCCCACTTGTTTTAAAAGCTGGAGAAGGCCGAGGCAAAGCCTTGAAGCCGCAGCCTAATCCTCTTACTCCCTGCGCCGGTCTCATGGAGCTTTTGAGCCCGCTCCCAGAGCCAGCCGTCCTCGGGAGAGCGGCGCGGGCAGCGCTGCCGGCTCCAGCGCCGCCAGTGTGTTATGGTAATGAAGCGCCTTCCATTCACCCATCTCAAAGCACTTCTTAAATGTAATGAATCACGGTTTATGAACTTATTCTAAGCATGGCAAATTAAAATAAACAGAGAGGGAAAAATTTTAAAGGGTTTTTTTTCTTTTCTTTTTCCGAACAATAAATCGATAAAGGCTAAATTTTTTTTTGTGTCCCCTGGGGAATTAAATTATCCTTCTGTCCCTCATGCCAAAAAATAAAAAAAAAAAAAAAAAAAAAAAAAAAAAAGAAGAAGAAAAAAAAGTTGCTCAGACTTTTATCTTTCCTCATCACACTGTAATCACTTCTCTTCAGCCTCATTTCCCCCCCAGCTTTTTATTCAAAGAACTGAGGCAGCCTTTGCTCTGCCTTGAAATTTTATTTAAAATAAAAAAGAGGGGGGAGAAGAAATGGATGAAGGGGGAAAAAAAATCCCTTTTCCTGACTAATACTAATAATACAGGTCAAAATGTCAGTCTATCAACAATTAAATGGAAAACAAAAAAGGTTTTCCCTTTTTCCCATGGTACAATGGCGCTGGAATATAAATTACCGATGAAGATGAAATAATACTTCAAAGCACATGGGCAAAGGCAGCACAACGTTTACAAAGTATTTTCCACCACAGGATGAAACACTGGAGACAACGGCAGCCAATGGACTTCAGGGGGTGTGGGTGAATAGCCCAAAACTAGCACGGAGGAGGATTTGAGGTCCCTATAGTCCCTGACCCCACGATAGGCTTTGTTTAACAAGGGCAGCTGCAGTTATCAACAGATGTTTCAGCAATAAATAATTGGTATCATCCCAGAAAAGACCCATCTACCTGGGGAGAGGGCATAATGCAGCAAACACTGCCCCACTATTAGAGCCACATTAATCTCCCATCTAGCCAGGTCTCTCGGGGAGCTGGCTGCAGGTGTTTATCCCGGGAGGGAGCTCACAAACGCTCCCAAGTTACAGGGAGCTGAGCTGGGATTGTAAAGGAGGTCAACCTCCGCCATAAATTTCTGTCTGAGGCCACACACACCAAAGGGAGGGAGAAAACAAATACCCGAGAGCGAGCAGCCACTCCCCGCCCTCCCTCCCGGGGGAAATCCAGGAGCCCCGCCAGGACCTGAGGATGCTGGGGCTGCCACTTCCCAGCCCCGCAGTGCCTTTGCTGAGCTTCTCACTGCTCCACAAGGAATCAAAGCTGTTCCAAGAAAAGCTGCTGGCCTCACTGCGGTAGGACTCTCTGGGGCAGGTGAGACCTCCTGGCCACCTTGGAGTTTAACAACGGGCAGGAATGGGATGGTGCTGGCTTCAGGAACAAAAAACACCCCCTACAAAATTCACCACCTCACCTTTATTCCTGTTCCAGCAAAGGGATGGCCGTTAGCCCAGACATTGCACTTACCATGGGAAAAAGGTGTCCTCTATTTGCCGCATGCCTGACGTGCCTCCAGGAAAATCAGAAAAGCAATTTCTTGCTACTTTCTAATCTTTGAGCTCAAACTCATCACCTTAAGGGATGGGATCCCCCAAGGACCCTTGGGATTCTGCCGCTCCTTACACAGGAGGAATTTCTCACAGGAGAAATAACATTTCTCCTTGCCTATCCTGCCTAGGTTTTGGCCAGCTTTGGTCCTCAAAGGGATTCTGCAAGGCAATCCCTTAATGACTCCTAAGTGCCTACGGACTCTCCTGGATGCCCACAGCAGCACTTACATGGGGAATTGTCAGAATTCCTTGGAATTTTATTTTTCCAATTTTATTGGAAGAAGAGCGGGTGAGGAGTTGTGCAAGCCCTGCTAAAGCAGGTGATCCTCACAACCAACTTGCAGAGCAGAATTAAACAAAGCGCAGCATTCTTGTCAAATTAGTGAGTTTTTTAAAAAAACACTACGTGAACATTTTAGTGTTATTATAATGACAGCTCTTCAGGGAAGAGGGAAGCATCACCTTAGTGGAGACAGACCCAGAAGTGCCCTGTGAAAGCCCCCGAGCACCACAGCTGTGTTGAACTTCATACCAGCAAGTCAGGCAGCCTGGCGCTGATCATATCTTGCAGGTTTGTTTTGTCTTCTGGGCCCAGCTCTTGTTTGTACTGCCATCTCTCCGGCACAAAGGGCCACTTCATTTCCTTTGCCTCCTCCAGCAGGCTCCTCAGCTCCTCAGGAAGCAGAGCTGAAAGGGTCAAAGAGCAGGTGAGGCTATTGCAGCAGGTTCAGCCACGGCAGCCCCTCCAAAAGGCTTCTCCCAGTTGCTCCCAAGGGCTCTCAGCCTGGTGGGGAGGGCAGGGGAGCTGGCCTGCGCTTGGTTCCCCTTGGCTGCACTGCCCTCCAGGGAAATGGGAGCCTCCAGCCATTAAAAAGGCTTTTAGCAGGAAGTCCTGCCGGCTGGTGGCTGTCTGGGCGTGAAGAGCTGCTCCGAAGGAGGCAGGAGGGAACCTGTTCCCCTGTGTGAGCAGAGAACAATGGGGTCAATGGCACAGAAGATCTGTCCCCGTTGTTCAGGTGAGATCTGTCCCCCTTGCTCAGGTGACAGTTGCAGAGCCATCCTGGAAAGCCACTTCCAAACTGGGAGATAAACCTGGACCGTAGATGGCAACCAGACAGAAATCTAAAGGGTTATAATGAATATTAAGCACAAGCTCTTGGGCAGTTTGTCCCTCCCTGCTCCCTCTCCATACTGGTCCTAAGCCACTCCATCAGCTTTGGGTGGATCTCCAACCTGATCCAACTAAGGAAGCAACTGCTAGGAGCACAGAGCCAGAGATTTGGGCTTGGATCTGTCCCTTCCTTTCAGCCACAGCCCATTTTCCTTTCCCATTTCATTTTCCTTGCAGCAGGGGTGATATGGATGTGCTGTGCTGTGCTTACCACTCGGCTGGGCAGCCTCTCTGGCCAATAAAAGTGGATTAACAAAGATTATTGACCAGATGGGGTTAATGGTGATCATCAGCTGCAGATCCGGCCCCTTCTGGCCATTAATCCCCCAAAAAAACCCTGCTCAGAGAGCATCGCTGCTTTAGCGAGGCAACACAATAAATGCATTGCTACAGATTTTTTAATCAATCCTTTATGCAGGGACTGTAGAAAATGAACTTCATCAAAAGGATATTACAGGCTTGGGCTGCAGCACATTCACAGGTATGGCTTTCCTGGGAAGAAACAGCAAGTTGGACATTCATGGCCCACCCCCAAAAAGTCAAGTTTACAATCTTCCTGCTTTTTCCAGCCCATGTTTTCTCACTTGTTGCCATCCCAAGGAAATGCGAGGTTTGGAAATCTTCCTGTTACACATCCTGGCTTAAAGTAAAACCCATTTCCTTATCCTCCTGAAGTGGTGCCTAAGGGGCTCAGCCCTGAACGCTGAGGCAAGGTGGCCAAGTGCCAGGGCTGATGGGGAGAAGAGGCCCTGCTCCCACCCTCACACTGGAAAATCAGTGCAGGAGCAGAAATATCCATCTCAGCACGGGGATATTCACCTCATCACAAGGAACAAATTGTTGGACAGAAGGACTTATCTCCCATGTAGAAGGGACTGAACTGCGTGAGTCTTTTCCCAAGGAAGATCCAGCTCCAAGGACAAGAGTTTGCCCTCATAATAGAGAGCTGTTCTCACTGCTGGCAATTTAAACTCATTCATTAACCAAGGCTGAATGGTCACAGAAGTGGACTGCAACGATTTCTAGCCTAAAGAAGAAATAACGAAAAGATCCAGACCCACCCAACACCCGTTCTGCCCTCTAAAGTGAGACCAAGATGTGCTCCTCCTCTCCCCACCATTTTTCCAAATTTGGCCTTCAGTCCTTCCTGCCGCAGGTCTGGGAAAGCCGGAGGGGACGGGAACAAAGGCAGCCCCAGGAGGAGAGGGGGGCCAGGAAAGCCCCTCGGCCCCAGCGCAGGGAGGGTCCCCCGAAGCCGAGAGCCGCCGAGCCCCAGCAGTTATTAATGTCGCTGTCACCACCCCGCTGCTGGGTATTTTCCTTCCAGCTGATGGGAACACGGCCCTGGAAAAGCCCGAGCAGCACTCGAGGCTCTGATGGCCCATTTCCTGAAGCAGTTTACCTGAAGGACCGTGTCCAATCGAGTGATTATAAGGGCACTGATTCACCTTATCTGGAACTAAACTGATTATTTCTCATACTTTGTGGTATTTAATAGCAGAAAAGGAGGGAGGAGGAGGAGGGGGGGAAAAAAAAGCGCTACCTGATTAGGGGTTCAAGAGCCTATTCTGTGGAGCCACAATAAAACTTAAAAGAATTTGCGACGAGGAAACAAAGTGCCCTTTGTTGGAAACAAAAGAAGAGGAGAGAAAAATCTTCCAGTATCCATAACAGAAACCTCCACGCCACCCTCCAGCGCAAACAGACTTAGGTGCTTCAGGAAAAGGCAGCTGACCTCCCAGCAAGAACAAGGATGGTCGGAAAAACATCTTCTCAACGGCTCCGCGCCCCGGGACAAACAAAGGGCTTTGAGGATCACATTAACGTTCGGGCCGAGCCACTCAAGCACGGCGAAAACGAAACATTATTAACACCGAACTGGGGAACGGGCAGCGCCGCAGATGCGGCACGCAAAGGGAAACCTTAATGCCGCTGGAGTGCAGAAATGATAAATCCTCCCTTCGCGGCCGTACCAAAATTGCTGCTGGTTTTCAAAAGCAGGTAACGCCAGCATTGAAACAAATGAGGAGTCCTTTTATTATTTATTTAGCTCTCGCTAAACGCTGCTCATGGATTTTCCTTTCAAGAGGCATATTGCAAAGGGTTTTTCTTTTAGGTGGTTTTTTGGTTTTGGTTTTTTTTTTTTTTTTTTTTTTTTTCCCCTTGGACACCACTTATAGAGGTCACACACATTTTACAAGATAAAGACTCGGGCAATGAGCTCTTTAATATATGAGGAGAAACTGACAAACACAGAGGGCCCTCCCCCAGTTCCTATGAAAGGAGAGGAAATATGTGCCCTTATTCAGAAGTTGCATCCTTTTTTTTTTTCCTTTCTGTCTCTCTCTCTCTCTCTCTCTTTTTTTTTTTTTTTTAATAACTGAAATTTATGTGCATCAGCAAACTTTTGGTCATTGTTCTTCCCAAACTAAACTGTTCCTTACAGCCTCATGTTTACTGAAGCCTAAAATTAGAACTGACAGCAATTCACTGCAACAAAGTGCACTTCTTTCCCTGCCTGCATCCCATTCACGGCCCCGAAATCCAGGCATCTCTTGACACTCACGGAGACGAAAAATAGGGCAGGGCTGAGCGCCGGCGGGGCGCTGCCGCCTCCCCTGGAGAGAGCTCACCTTGGCACCGCCGGTATTCCCGCTGCTCCGCCTCTCCCGGAGCCCGGGGCAGCAGCTCGGTGTCCAGGGCCCGCTGGCACTGCTGCAGCAGCGCGGCCACGGCGCTCTGCCCGCTCATGAACGCCCCGGCCCCGCGGTGATCAACTGCCCAGGAGATCCCCGCGAAAAGGATCCCTTCGAGGCCGAGGTACCTGGCAGACAAAGGAGGGGGAAAATTATTAACTAAGGCAACATCAAATATCCGAAAGGCTCAAGCAGGGGGAGATAATAGGGGGAAATCGAGGAAAATACGTGGCAGGCCCAGAGGACTTTATTAGAGGAGTGTGTGAGATCACTGCAGGCTCCCGGGGACAGTGTGAGGGGAGCATCTCTGAGGGCCAGGGAGAGAGGATGGACTCGTCAGTGGAGCCATGACGGGCTCGTCAGTGAAACAATGACATCCCGAGCAGGGAAGTGACTGGCGGGGCTGTGCCAAAGCCCTCTGCACCTGGGAGGCTCGGGCTAACCGGGATGGAGTGGCAGAAAGGAGCTGTGTGCATTCCCCAGACCATAGAGATCTTCTCTTTCACCGTGGGATGCCACCCCGCGGGTGAATGTTCTCCTCCAGGTGCTTAGGACGTTGCCAGCGGTGATGCAGGAAATCCCCACCATTCCCATGACAGGTATCTGCCTCTGTACCTGCCAGAATGCTCAGGCAGCTTTCAAAAATTAAGCACAAGATAAAGACTTAGGGTTTGGGGTTTTTCCCCCATCGATTTATAAAACTGTTCCTGCAGCCTGAAGCAATACAGTCAGGAGCAGCCTCAGTGAAAATACAACTAAAACTGGGAAAACACTATGGCAGTGAAGGGGGGAGTGCAAAGGACAACACACACACACAGGCACAATTTGCTCTGCTGGCTGGAAACCACTCACATTTCAGCAGCTAAAATGTTTCCAGGCAGTTTTTTTCCCCTTTCTGCTGTGGCTCTGGGATGGCTGGATGCTGGAGCTGGTGGCAGATAGGCCGTGCTCTCAAGGGCACTGAGCAGGAGCAAGCTGCCAGACTGAAAAGCAGAGGGCAAAAGAGAGGCACTCATGCGAAAGCAGAGAGGATCAGAGAGCCTGCCGTGGAGGGCAGGTGGAGCGGGGCAAACCATGGGATTCAGAGCAAAGAGCCTGGAGGCAGGAGCTCCTCACTGGGGCTCTGACTGCCTCTGCAGATGCAAATGTCACAGAAAGAAGGATTTTAAAAAGTAGCTGTGAAAGGGAGACCAAGGGAAGGAGCACGAGCACCTAAGAGAAGCTGGGGAGCAAGTAAGAGATCAGCCAGAGGCAGAGCCATGGATAGAAGCAGAAGGAAAACCTAAAAGCCTTGGACATCTTTTCAGCTCCAAGTAAGAGCCACTCTCTGCAGGGTTGGAGCCAGCTGAGCATGGCTGGATGCTGGGAGCACATCCCTGTGGATGCACCAGGAATGGAACCCAGCATGGTCCACAGCCCACCCAGGAGATGGGGCTGAATTACCTGTCCCTGGCAAAGATGAATCTTAAAAAAGGGCACAACAATGGTGCAAGTCCACATCGCAGTTCACAAAGGTGCTCTCTCCCTAAGGATCTGTCAGGGACACATCTCTGAGCCCAGGAACAACAGCCAGAAAGCAGAATCCTCTGCTCCACCCTGCCAGGTCTGATCCTGCTGCTGGGTATCCATCAGGGAAAAGTGTGGTCACACTAACACACCTATGCCAGCGTGGCTTGCTCTGCTGCACTGACATCTGCTAATTGATTTATCTGATTACCCAGCCCTGTGGGAAGGAGTGTGCAGCTGTCCCAGGAGTACCTCCCAGGTTGGGATGAAGCCTCCCTGCCATCTGGCCCAGACTCCATTCCTTTGTGTAATTGATTTCTCAAAAATCTCATTTTCCAGGGAGCCTACTCCAGTGACTCCCAAGCACACACACACCTGCTTTGGATCTGCTGTGGACAGCAGTCCAGGCAGCCTGGAAACTGCTTCAGGAGTGTGCAGAAGCACACTGGAGAAAGCCTGTGCTCAGCTGCCACCTCACAGCCTGCAAATAAATGCTCATAAGCACCATTTGCTGTGAAGGTGCACTAAAGCAAGCAAACACCGGGTTATTTCCATTTACAAAAAATACCATGGCTCCGGGAGCACCCAAGGGAGCTCGTGGATGTGCTCCACTTCTCTGTGCTACAGCCCAGACCTTAAAGCCCAGCCTTCCTCAGGTCCTTACTGCAGGCAGGAGGGCCCCGTGGCTTTGTGAGCCACACAGGCTGCCATTCTCACAAAGAGCTGCCAGGGCTTAGCAGGGAAGCTCAAATTAGTGTGGAAGTACATCACTTGGCTTCCTTGAATTTGGAGGATTTAACTCACCAGGAAACTGCTGGGTCCCTAACACTGATCCACACATGTCAGCAAGCCAGGGAGTTCTCTTCAAGTACATTTTTCCAAGGAATTGAATAAACAGCAAGGACAGAGAGTAATAAAATAATGATTTACAGCAGCAGCACCGAAGTGCTGGGAGCACAGAGAGAAGTGCAATAAACTGTACATTAGTGCTCAGGAGGTAGAGAGCCTTTTGAGACCCATCACTGGGGACAATGACTCGCGTCATAAAATCAGCTTAAGATGCACCACGGAGCCCTAAAGCACATCAGCACCCTTCACACAGATGCCACTTTGCAAGTTGTGCTTTGTGACAGCTGTGGCGTTGAGTGACAGCTGGGAGGGGGGAATAACCAGGCACGCAGCTTTCCTGGGGAAACACAGGACCTGAGCCTAAAGCCCAAGAGCAGAACAGCAAAAACTTCTGGAGGCCTTTAGAAGCCTCTCAATGGTTGCTAATCAGCTTTCTCAGAGTTCCCTTAAACCCTAACAAGTGGCACTTTAAGGAGATGGTTTTGAAGTGGTGAAAATTGTAGCCTGACATGCTGCAGAACTGCCCGGGAAAAAATGTTTTCTAAGCACGTACTTAAAAATGCTCTTTGAAAACACATAATAAAAAACAATTTTGCATCAGATTGAGGATTTAAGCACTCCTTGGTGACAGGAGAGCTGCTTTACTCCCGTTTCAGGCAAAACCAGCTTTTAAATGCTTGATTTAATTGTTAGGACACTAAAACAGAAAGGATGAGAAAAAAAAATAATCAGCCATTTCTGACTGGAGTCTGGATTAAAATAATTCCTTGCATCAAATATGATGAAAAAATTATTACAAAGGTCTCAGGGGACGAGAAAATACATTTCTGTGGTTCCCTTTAATTGGGGCTGGGGTTCAGAACAAGAGGGACGGAAGGAAAGATTGGGTGGGACACAGAGAAATGATCTCTTTAATAAGAAATGGGCCATACTGTGACATTTCAGAGCCCTTGGGCTAGAAGACCAAAAGATCTGTCAAGAGAAAGGAATTTTAAGTTCTGCCATGGGTGGAAGGAAGCCTGGGAGTCAATCTAGCCGGTTTAAGACTGCAATTAGCTCTGGAGGCTTTAAGAAAAAGAAGATGTAATTGCTGCACTCAAACTTCAAATGCAGCAAGGATAACAAGCGCTGGTTTCTCAGACAACATCATTTGGGAAATTTTCCGCAGCATTATGGTCCTGAAACACAAATTAGAGATCGCCAGGCCTTTTCTCTCTGAAAATATATTATCCTAATTTTCATCTTATTCAGGGTACCTTCTAGCTCCAGGGAGACTAATGAAGAGGAAGCAAAGACCTGATGAGTTCCATGTGGAGACTACATTTATGGATTAATCCCAACAGGGAGCAAATAAACCTTATTCCCAGAGCTCTCGGCTGGGACTCCACACAATCAATCGAGGAATGGATAGTTATTTATGGCTGAGGCTGTTTTGACTTTCAAATAAACATTTTAATTATTTTAAGTGTTACGCTGGAATTTGGAATGGGAGCCCTGCTTTCATGGCACTGCCTTGCTCTCCTGCCTCCTAATCCCAAACCACTCTGGTCATTATGACACCGTGCAAACCACACTGATCTTCATGCCTAAAACATTGCAAAGGTAAAACATGTGGGCCAGGCAAACTAGAGAAGAGGGAGGAAGAAAAGGGAGGAGGATAAATGAAAGAAACACTCTCAAGATACACTGAGCCGGAAGAAAATGAGGTGCCCAACTCTGAAACCCTTTTGCAATCAGGTTGGCACATCCTGATCCATCTTTGTGCCCTGCTCCCCCCTGCCTGCTCCTACGAGCAATTTTAATAACCAAAGTGCTTCAGAGCATTTCTTTTCTGACAGCTCATTTTCAATTCAATACCTGCACCACTTGCACTGCCAGCTTTTCCCTCCAGCCTAATTTGGTGTGCTGTGGTCTTTCCACTCTGAGATTATGAAGCCACACTCATTTTCAGGGAAGCTCTTTAGAGTCCTTTGCTAAATAAAGGCAAGTGGTGAAATCACGACACAGATCTGTTGGAGTTACAGTCTCACCTTCACTCTGTATTGTGGCATTTCATCTCCCTCTGCTTTCTGTAAGGAGACTGAAAAAACTGCAGGAGGTTGTCCTTGGGAGAGCAGTGGAACATTTGGGCTGGTGTTTTCACCTGCAGCAGGTAAGGGGGAGCATGCACACCACACAGCACCCTTGGCCGCTCTCCCTCCCGTGGATTTGTGCACGAGCCTTCTGGAGCCCTTCCAGCCACTCCTGACCAAAATAACAGGCTCAGCTTCATGTTTGGATTTGGCTGCTTGAGGGATTAAAAACTAAAACAGGAAAATAAAAATAAAAATAAAAAAACTCATTCTCTTAATAACTTAGCAAAAGTTTCAATAATTGAATTGATATCATCTCCACAGAAGGCAAATTCAGTTTCCCCGAACATTTCAGTGCACACATGCTTGTGTTTTCCTAGAGCATTTACCTTTCTTTGCAGAAAGATGGTTTTAAAAAAATAAACAGATTTGCTGGGGGCTTTATTCATTTAGTTAGCTAGTTTACTTCTCTGGCTTAAAGATTAGATGTTTTCTTTTGGTAAAGCTGGCTATCCCAACTGGCTGTATTAAAATAAGGAAGAATCTCAATCAAAAAGCCTCTCCTAAGGCAAGCTTTCTTGTTAATATGCACCAACATGAAAGGGTTTCTTTTCATCCTATACAACTA